TTTGTTGATCGAAGTGCATTGTATAGTATGTTTGTGGCTAAATAATTATGGGGACTGTAAATCATTAAATAAGTACATTTAGCATATTTTAGAATTGTCTGTCTGTCGGTCTGTCTGTGTCCTTATGAACGCATCACGTTTTGAATAAACATCTTTTTTCAAAGAAGTCGATAATCATAAGGCGTATCCTCGAGTTCATTTTTAATCTTTGTTTTATTAAAATTGGTTAATTCTATCGAAAGTTATGATTATTATTTTGAAATCTAGGTCCAACTCTGCTTAAAGGCGCCATAAAATCTCAGAAATAGTAATAAAAAGATTAATGTGTAAAAAAAAGTTCTATTATAATATAATTATTCTTAAAACACAGTAAACAAAAAAAATATGTTTTCCTTTAATTAAAAGAGGATGTTTTCTCACAAAGAACGTAATAGATGGCTTTGTACAAATTACAACCTTTTCTGAATGTTGGTCTGTTCTGAATTTTTCGCCGGTGAATCGTAGTGAGACTCACTGAAGAAATTTGTGCCCATGAGTACGATGAAGTTGAAAGAACCGTGTAGGCTAAAAGCACAAACATCACCAGAAACCAGAGAAGAAACACGCCCATCCAAGCTATACAACGAAACTCGATTAAAAGTATCAGAATTGCAACAAAATTTCGCAATATTGTTTTTATAGCCAGAATCCCTCTAACACCAAATAACTTTCCTTTCAGTTTTAAGCGTGTTCAGTTCCCAGTCAGCGTATGTTATGTTATGCGATGACCGCAAATAAAGTGCAACGTCAAATTTTATGCGTTCCAGGAGTAGACCTCAATATTGTTTTGCACATGGCCAACTCTACGAGTATGTTGCTTTTTCCCGCGTTAGTAGGCCCCGTAACCTTTTTGTGTACGCCCCGGCTAAGTCGCCTTCTAACGTCGTTTACACAGCAGCTCTATCATAAACGACTTAGAACTTTGATGATAATGATTTATTTTGTTACCACTTATTGATACAGTAATGATATAAATCGTTTAACATTCTCTTACCTTAATGTCAAATTCTTTAAGTAAAACCTATATACGCGGGCTACGCTGCGGGCACAGCTAGTGGTACATAATACCATATTACCTTGCGTATGTGCACTATGAACAAACCTTTGATTCCGTCAAAACTTCAGCGGTGCCAAGTTGACTGTCGCTATATCGAAGTGCTGAAGTGTATGTACAGGAGGGAAGATGGCTATCCGAATAGTATGTAAACCATCCAATGACCTCAATAGTGTCAAACAACGGAGAGGTCTTAAGATGACCATGCACAAAACAAAGGTCATGTGTACATGTCATACCTATGTCGGTAGTTGTTGGGGGTACTACGCTCAAAGTAGTCATCGAGTATGTTTACCGAGGACAAATAGACCGACTAGGTAAGTCCAACATCGACCGAGATGTCAATCGACGGATTTATCTCGGCTGGGCAGCGTTCGAGAGATTACGACACATCACGTCGGGTATACCTCAAGACTTCAAAACGAGATTTCACAACTAGTGCGTATTGCTAGTGATGCTTTATAGATCTGAGACGTGTTCCTTCACTGCTGGCCGTATGAGGAAGCTTAAGATCACTAAGCGAGCTATGGAGAGAGCTATGCTCGGGATTTTCTGCATAATATACTTAAACATGAGGATATCTGTAGTAGAATCAGAGTAACCGACATAGCTTAACGGATTAGTAAACTGAAGTGGCAATGAGCCAACCGTATAACTCGAAGAACCAACAACCGATGGGGAAGAAAGGTTCTCGAGTGGCGGCCTCGTACCGGTAGACGAAGTGTAGGGCAGCCCCCCACTAGATGGAGTGACGACCTGGTAACACATACAGGAAGTCGATGGATGCAGGTGGCTCAGGACCGTGCTTTATGGATGTTCAGCAGTGGACTTGTGAAAGGCTGTAATGATGAACGTTGATGATACTTATGGACAAATTTAGAGGAGCGCAATAAAAATTGTGTATAAAACAAAATATCATCGATATTTATGACAATTATGGGATCTTGCTTATTATTTGTTAATTTAAAATGGCAAACGTCGAAAAAACAAATGATCAAATGATAAAAATTAACAAAATTAGAAAAAAAAAACTTTGCATTTTTCTCATAACCCTTATAAAAGTTTTTTAAAACCGTAATTTTAGTTAGGTTAACATGAAATTGCTTTCTTTGCCTGCCTTGTTTTCTTAACACCGAGTTAATTGTGACATTTGGTTTTTAGTTCTATCATAGTATGTAATGCTAGTGTTATTCTTGCTACAAAGGAAACTCCAATTATTTAAAATTTTTAAGGTACCGAAATACACTCTTTGTATTTGAAATTTGTACTAAAAAATTGTGTTTGCATTACGAACATAAAATGAAGACAATATATCATTCATGCCATCACAAAAATAAAGGTAAAAACCATCTAGATATACCGCATTCTACTGCTGAGCCTAGCAATTCTCTCATTTCATTTCTGAGAGAAGTTTAAAGCTGGGAAAAGTTCGCCGAGCTGCCCCAATTCGTGTTAGCAAACTTTTATTATTTAAATTACATTTTGAAGAAAAATCAATGTCTACCTTCTATACTACGCTTTGGTGGATTGAATCACAGGTTATGGACTTGGGAGTGTACGGTCGCACTTTTGCTTCTTATATAAAGAACATTAAAAATTTACAGACAAGATTTCTAAAATATCTTGTAAATGAAAAAGTTAAAGAAAATTGTAAGAAAGATTGTAATAAGTTATTCTCTATTTGTAAAATTTTCCCGGTAGAACACAAAGTTAACACGTTATTAGTTTTGGAAAAAATTAATAAAAATCATTATAAACAAAAAGTGGATAATAAATATAGAACCAGGAAAGTTAGAGAAGGGAAATTAGTTGACCCTAATGTTAAAAAAAAAACTATTTACTACCAAAGCTTTTTTAATAAAATGGACTGGGTAAGGCAAGGTAGACCTGAGTGTAAATTTACAAATAAATAGAAGTTTAAGAATTATTTTTTAGATAAAATAGAAGATACATGACAGCGTATATGACAATTTGTAAATTGATATTGGTTTATAATATTAAGATGAATGAGAATGGTAATATTAAGAACTTAGAGTATTAATAAGTCATCGCGCGCTCTGACAGATTAAGATCTCTATTTGGTTGCAACGTTACGTGGGTGGGATGTTATATTAGAATTAATAGAATATAGAAATAATCGTGTTTATATTGAGAATTTGTATTAGTTTGCTATTATTATGTGGGTGGTGTACTTATTCAATAGAATATAAGAGTGCATTTATTCGCCAACAAACTGTTTTTACAGTTTGGCGTAGTTGTAAAATTATGTAATGTTTTTGTAAATGTTAGTAAATAAATAAAAAATAAAATGAAACATATTTTTGACTTCTACAGTTCATCATCATGCATTTGTTTATATTAAACTTTAGAAATAGGGAAATGTATAATTTAATAATTCATCTGTTAAATTTTTACAGCCTATCAAGAGTGCACTGCTGAAGATGGGTCTCCCGCCTCCCCCATAGATTGGCTCATAGAAAAATTATTATATATACATATAAATGAAAGTAAATATTATATATACATATAAGTGTCTGTAATATTGAAATAACTACTTTATATCAAGTTAAGGCGGTTATTTACATACCATTAATACATGAACAACCATTTTAAAAAAAGTTATCCCTCTGTCTGGTCTGTCTGTCCAGGTTAATCTTCGGAACTGCTGTACCGATTGTAAAACGAACCACAAGATCGAAACCACCAGTTTAAGTAGACAATACACTAAGTTGGCAGCACTGCCCGAAAATAATTAGAATTTTACCAGTAATGTAAAAAACTTGTGATTGTCCCCAATATAAAGCAGTATAAAAAAGTTAACAAAATGTTAATTGAAATACATAAGTGTGTTCCACCAAGCATGTACAGTATAAAAATGTTAATATTATAAAATAAATGCTTCATAAGTAAAATTATTCACCTTTAGAATCCTTTCCAATTAAATTTAATTAAGTCTGGAGGGATCTTATGTTTGGCTACAATCGCTATTAAGCTACAAATAAATGAATGACCTCTAGCATTTAAAGTTCCAATTAATATTTGTTGCTGTATAGTGTTTTTGTGTTATATAAATGTACTTAAAAGTAAATTTTGAGAATTTTTATTATAATAAAGTAGCAGTAGCGCTTTTCTTACAATAGTAAAGAGATGTCTTTGCATTTTACCTAAAGGTAAAAGTTACAGCCTATATACGTCCCACTGCTGGGCACAGGCCTCCACTCATTTCTGAGAGGGTTTTAGGGCAAGGAAGTGTATACCGCGCTGCCCCAATATGTGTTGGCGAACTTCACATGTCTTTGAAGTATTTAAGGTCTTATTACCTTAAGGTAACAAGACGTTAAATAACGAGATGGCAGTTCAAGCCAACTCTATTACTACAACAACTATTTAACTAAAATACAACATGACTGTTCTGTAACATTAGAGATCGGTAAGAGGACGATAAATTAAGAAGACATATTGTTTTATGCAAGCGGTGCTTCAATTAGAAATCTCCTAAAGCTTTAAACAATTTATGTAAGATTTTTCATAAATCCTTGCACTCAATGATCTCCTAGTAATCAGTTAGTAGCTGATCATTCTAAAACAAAAGTAGAAATAGCTTCAAACTCATGGATCACCATTGCACCTTCCTCAAATCATGTTGGAACTTCTCTTTGAGACTGACTATTTTAACTTTATGCCATGCGATAATGTAGGAAGAGAATCCGCTATCCTATTTCATTTCATCTAAGGCCTAGAATTAGAATAAGGTAAGAGGCGAAATATTCTATTTATCCGATAATGTCTGTAGATTACTGTGTCCTGGAGTGCGCCTTTAGGGGCTAGTGTAAAAATATGAATATATCAATCACCACAACTATATTTTAGTTCACAAACCATTAAAATATGTTATTTTTTGTTACAGATTGCCGAGAACCTATGCTTTAATAAAGGGTAAGAAGTAATACTTATCGTTAATACAAGCTATCCAATCTAATATTATGTACTTTTAAATTTGCAATGTAATTTAGATGTTTATTACCGTATCGCGCAATAACGGTTAAACATATTTGGATAAAATTTGGCGTACAGTTTATATCCTGGATTAAAAACGCTAGGCACCGTTAGATGCGGTTTGGCGGCGCAACACAGTGGGTAATTTCATGGGTGACAAAGCCGTAATGCACTGTGTGGCGCAGTTACACTTTCCTATCCCTCTATTGTACTGTTTCAACCTCTTAAACCATTGTTTCACTCTCTCTTGGGTCATGTGCGTAACGATCTAATAACAGTTTCATTCGACACTATTCCTGTGATATTCCCGACATCATGTCACTTCAAAACTTGTAAGCTCCCGGATGAAGTTAGTATTACAGCAGAACTTCTAAAAATGAATTGAAAACCAGTTCTTGAAGTCCTTCAGGATACCTTAAATTCCATTGTCAATCATGGTGCTACTCCGGAGGAGTGGAGCAAAATGTGCGATGGTATTGTTCATCATGTAAGGCGGCCTACTTAGGCCTATTACGAGCCTAACTAAAAAGCCATTGTGTTTTCGGAAGTCATGACGAATCGACTCACATACAGATATCGACTTCCATCCAGTTTTCGATACGGTTTAAGTATCACAAATGAAATACATAAATAATGTTGGAAATTTTATAAAAGACCGACAGGTACAATTTTGTCTTCTTTTATGTTTGACGAAATACAGACAGTACTACTCATCTTTGGGCAGTGTTAGATTAACTATCGGTGTATCGAAGTTGTGACGGTATAAAGAATATCCACTACCACATATCGTCCCGTGGGGGTCATAAGAGGTGACAGAGGCAAACAATTCAGGAGATGGGCAGCAGCGTCTTCTTTGCAATAAAAAAATGCAGTAGCCAACCCGCTTGGCATCTATAGCAAATATCCCCCCTATAAGGCAAGCTATGGGAGAGGCCTATGTTCATCAATGTACTTTAATAGGCTCTAATGGTAATGGAAATGATATCGAAGTGCTGCAGTATTTGTACAGTAAGTCTCCACAACTCTCCGAGTATAAAACCACAGTGCAAAACCTATCCAACTGCAGAGAGGTGTAAGACAGGGTGATATTATACACCCGAAACTTTTCACCGCTGCATTGGCAGCACACTTTTGAGCTATTAGGCTGGACATTAAAAGTTTTTAAGCTTTTTTGGGACATTTTATACTGCTTTAAGGGCATTTTTCAAATAGAATTGATATCGAAGTGCTGCAGTATTTGTACAGTAAGGCTACGTGGCTCTCCGAGTATAAAACCAGAGTACAAAACGAAGAGAAATAGAGGTGTAAGATAGTGCGATGTTACATACCCGAAACATTTCACTGCTGCATTGGGAGATGCTTTCGAGCTACTAGGCGTGGCATTAAAAGATGCTGCTTTGAGGGAATTTTTCAAATTATCTTGCCTATTATATTTCCTTTTTACTGTTCTTTCTTCTTTACTTGGTTTCATTTTATAAACTGGTTGAAAAAAAAAGTGCTGGAGAGTATTGAACTTATCGAATCCAAATACTACTTAGCATATTAATAAACCAATTATCAATATTATGTTAGTACATTGTAAGTTTGGTTTCAGTATGTTGCAAACTTTTTAGAAAAGGATGATATAGAAGAGTATTTTTAACCCAAAAATACAAACTTAAGCTTGAGTACCAGCAAAGATTAAAATCGAGAAACCACGTAATTCGATTACTTACACCTATTAAACTCAATTATCAGCATGACTGCTGACAAATTAGAAAAACAAGGATTGGCAAAATATCTAGGATATTAGCATTTTGCAATAAAATAACACAAATCTTTTAAATCTTATTCGAATGATGAACCAAGGGCATTTGAAAAGTAAATTTGACACTACGATTTAGAAAATCCGAAACTCCTCACCGCTGCATTGAAAGAAGTTTTCAAGCTACTGCAATGGAAAGGGTACGGTATCAACATTTCACTTATCACCGATTTGCTAACGGCTTAATAATAATGGGAGAATCGCTAGAAGATCTTAGCACGTTCAATGACCTCAATAGTGTCCTAACAAATACGTAATGTTTAACGTCCATATATACAAATGAATAATTATGAAATCTGTTTGTAATGTCAAAATAATGGCTTTTTACTAAATGCTTATGAAAGTATATAGGTACGTTACTTAAAAATAATTTTTAACGTGGTAGAGCCATGCTGCAGTTATATTTCTGGTATAGTTGTAACACGAATGGGTCGGCTCGACCGGGGAAGGACCACGCTCTCACAGAATACCAGCATAAAATAGCAGCTTAACGCTGCTGTGTTTCGTATGGTGAGTGTAGAGAACCGGAGACCCTTTTTACTGGAAACGAGGCATTCCATCTTAGTCCACACTTGGGATTTGCCGAGGTTGGTGCGTAAACCTGTATGACCTTCAATGAATACCGTTTGGTGATTCTGAGTATAATATATGCAACCCTCGTCGACACACTCACAAACTTTATAACGTTGTTAACGAGGGACTTTTGAACGATAGATCCGACACCTCCTTGGGACAGATGGTCGCCCTCCCGGTGCGTCCGTTTTACGTTGCGAGGTCAAATCGTCTTAGGTGGCAACCGAACCTCCACCGGAGATTCTCAGCACCCCTGCCCCGCCGTTACCATGGTCACCACCGTAGTCAGGAATAACAGGGCCGCCCGGGACTGGGGGCCATCTCTTCGTAACTTTCATCATGGGGGGATATTTGCCAAATAAAAATTAAAAACTGCGGGTTGGCAACCGCAGTTTTTTTATTGTAATATTGCAGTTATCAGGAAGATGCTTCTGCCTATCTCCTACATGTTTCCAACTGTTGTCTCTTACGACATCCACGGGAAGATATGGGGTAGTGGATATTCTTAACCGCCACTACACGGAAATATATATAATATAATGTAAACAGTTAAATGAGTGTTATCGTATAGAAAATAAAATAAAAATTACCTTAGTTTTTATAGATTAGATATTAATGTAATTTTAATATTACTAAACTTGAATTATTCACTAAAAGCGGTCGTCCGCATCTTCGTCCGAGTACAATTTCTGATTTCCTATGAGATTATGAAATTTTCAGTAATGTTATTTTACCCGTTGAGTTTTAAATATCCTTAAAGGCGAAAGTAATCACCGGGTGTGCTCAAGGGGAAACAGTATTCATACCACGTATACTTAATACCATCAGAATACCCCTTTGTGTTTAATATTCTACGCTAATTCCATGCGGATCCACAAAATATTGTGCTACTTTTGACGACATTTTTATTGCTTCTTTGTTTTGGGCCAACATAATAATTAATAATATGTATTTAAGGAATGTTTGTTTTTTTAAGGACCTCTTTGTATAAAACATTTGTGGCACGACTTTTGTGTGTTAAAATCACCAGACTATTTGCTGCACTTACTCTCGAAATGTCATATAAAACTGACCGTGACAAAAGCAGCTCTCCCTTAACTCTAATCCAATCATTTTCAGTGACTGCCCTTATGGTCATAGCAAAGCACATTTTCAGTGGGTATTGTAATCTCTTGAACTTAAAGGGGTAATCTGATGGTATTAAAGGTATTCGTGGTACGAAAACTGATTCCCCTTGAGCACATCCGGTGGTTACTTTAGCCGCTAAAACATTTTTACGGAGAGCTGTTATTTATAGTCTAGTACCATTGTATAATTTTTGAGGTTTTAAGTTCCTCAATTACATAACTGGTGCGCCCAGTTTAATGGGAATATGAACTGGTAGGTCTGCTGGTTTTATGGTATTTAAAAACTTGACGGGATAATTTACTACATCACAATTTATATTACTGTATCCACAGATTTATAGCTGATTTCTTCGCCTTCAAATGATTTCAGCGAAAGACCGTTAATATCACTTGCTGTATCATTTTTAGGCGTCAAAATAGCACGCTCGCATAACCAGTCTACGGGTTTTGTCATAATGTTTGCAATGAAATCAGGGTAAACTTTGGCGGTAAGCTCTGCAAAAGTTTTTACTACTAAGGCCAGACTTGGTTATATTTCAACTTTACTATCTAGTGTAGGATAATCTCCATCCCCTATTTTAATTAAAGTCTGTGCAAACTGACTAGCGGTAGCATCACCTTTCTAGAGCACTCTTTTGTCTAAAGAGCGAGCTTCTGTATATGAGGCCACAAATATGAAGACTTTGAACACGACCTTATTTCCTCCCCCATTTGTTCCTCTCGGTACTAACGGTAAGAGAGCCGTACGGACGATTTATTACTTAAATTTTAGAGTCCCTCAGAGTAAAATTTAACATATTAACTTTGGCATCGCAATATATTTATGAAAATGTAACGAATGTATTTCAAAACATAAATAGCTTTAATAAGAATAAAGATGTTCACACTTTAAACACTAGGACTGAACAATAATAAGCTTGTAATGCCAGTTACTAGACTTCACAGCCACCACACAATAATAATATAATAATTATAGTATAAGAATAACTAATAATCCTAAAATAATCCAAAAATCTACAACCTAATACTAAAGAGAAACTAACACACAATAAAATTACTATTAATTGTGTTAATTTCTCTTTAGTATTTTGTTATTATTATTATTATTTTATTATTATCTTAGGTAATAGGTATTATTTATACCTATTATCTTAGATAATAATATTGAATTTAAAATAGTTTATGAATAATTCCTAATCCAAAAATGATCCGACATCCACAATCAAAAATCTACAACCCTTATAGTAAAGAGAAACTAACACACAACAAAGTATAATAATTATATACCTATACCTATTACCTAAGAGCCGTGGTAGCTCAGATGGTTAGCGCTCGCTGTAATCTTCACGGTACTCGAGCAACCCGGGTTCGATCCCCGCCGGCACCAATGAAGTTGTTAATTGCAATTTTAAGTGCTGATTTACCACGTGCTCGGC